AGCCGTATCCCGGGGGGGTTCTGACCCCCGTCGTCGTCGACGACGGAACGCCGGCCGCTGGCAAGAACCAGGTTGCCGATGTCAGAGTTCTGAGAGCAAACCGGCCGCCCGGGTTTAGCATTTTGCACGGGACTTTGTAATTCAATATTGTTTAAAGGCCGGTGAGAAGGATTTACGACCATCGAGTCCACATCGACAGCCAAAGTAAATGTCTTGGCTACAAATTCCTTCCCACCAAGATTCTCCACGGTGCCGGTTTTAGTTCCCGGCCGCCCACAAATGTCCGTCTCCGCGGAATTTTTTGATCCGCTATTAACCAAAGGAGGGGGAGAGGTAGTCCCGATTATCATTTCCGGCTTGATAACCATATTGGGTTTAGGTACTACCAGCTCCTCCAGCTCAAACTCCTCCAATGAGGGGATCTTGAATAGCCATACACTTTTCCTCGAGAATCGACGCCGCTTAGCATCAACATCAAAGGAACCAATCTCTTCAATCGGGCACTGCCCAGCTTTCCGTTTAACGCGTCTTTGTTTTGAACAGGGGGTCGATCTTCCATCATCAGGGGAGATCTTTTGTCCCCGCCGAACAGAGAGCGGCTCTATAACTCCACTCTTCCACCCTTGAGATATCGATCCCTAGGGCTTCTTGGTATCCGCTGTAGCATCCAGCATTGGTTACGCAGGCAACTAAGAAAAACTGAGAACACCATCACAAGCACTAGTTTCCCTACCCAGTGGGCAAGGCGAAGGAGAGAGGAGAGAGCTCTCCTCATCCTTTTTTTTTTCTTCAACAGATTAATTTACTGACATTTCGATTGGGTTTGGGTCCAGCTTAGACCCAAACCCAACCAAACTACCTTTCACATTTCACTCTTTTGATTCCAATATTCTGTTTTTGTTTCGGTTTAGTATCGCTTAAGAATTCTTAAATAGTTTGTACCGAAAAGGGGAAAAAAAGAATTCTTAATAGTGTTCGCTGTAAACAACAAGGGTTTCTTAATTTCTTATCGATAATCATTTGTTTTTTTTGTGCTTAAACATAGATAGGTGTTAAATCCCCATCTCCACCGTCTTATACCAAAATTGTTGGAACCAGACAAGCTTCGGTTTCAGTTTGCACTTTGCAGTGCCTTCCATGATTCCTTTTACATCAAAGCAAATGCAAAATGTAGTCCCAAATGCCAGAATCCATCAAATTCTGATAATGAATATACTAATATAGTATAGTGACTATTAATTTATTTTGGTGAACGGGATCATAATTATTCTTAGTTTTGTGTTGTTTCTAAACTATGTACTAACTTATAAAATTGGTAATCATTACGATATTACTGTAAAGTCTTTGTGTTTTGAGAGATAATGTTTTTGAGTGTTTTGAAGTTGTTTGTACAGTATTTTTCAAACTTTTGTGGCGGTGCAGCACGATTCCATGTGAAACATATAGAGTTCGAGTGCTCAATGACATGAAGGAGTAGATTTGTATGGTATTCATACGCAATATGACCAACTTATCTCGTATACTACAATTCTGAATGTACAAATCTATTTATTCAATTCATGCATCTACGAATTTATGAATCCAATTCCATTGTCTATCTCATGAGTCATGACTAATATTCATTGTAGTAAGCACTTAAAAAAAAAGTTTGAGTGGTCAAATTGTAAAATGTAAATTAATTCTTTGTTTTATGGATTTATAGAGAATGCAATGAATATTCATTTGCTTTATAAATGTGAAAAATTCTGGTTATGAAAAACCTAATTTATGATGGATTTGAAAAAATCTATTATTTGTCAGGGATTTTACTTCATTAGATTTATTGGTATGATGTACTTTTAGCTTTACTCAAATCCTACCTTTAATCACAAAAATTTATAAGTCCATGAAAACCACGAATTCGAAACCTTAAACTTCATGTACCCCACAAATTTCACTCACTTTAAATTTAGTAACAAACACTGCACTTTGAGAATTGAGACAAGTCAATAATGGATTGGATTTGAGACCAAATTCGTTACCAAATAAATTACATGATTTTTGTTGGCAGACATCTACAGTCTACACCAAAGTTGGGCATGTTGGGCCCATCTTCTTAATGGGCCCAATGTTTGATCCGTTCGACAGACCTAAGCCCGCAGCGAGCGAGACTGCGAGAGTGAGAGGCTGAAATGAAATGTATCGCCCTCCGTAGCAGTAATACCTCGCCCTTCTGTCAAAACAGACCCAGTAATACGGATACCCTCGCCGTTGGCCGTCTCTGCCAAAAAAAAAAAAAAAAAAAGAGTTAACAGTTGGCGAGCTCATGATCAAGGTCGGGTCCCTTCTCAGGGAAGTCTCTCGACTCTCTTCTCGCCGGCTCGCCGCTTTCTCTTCTTGGTCGAGCGCAAACTCTAGATTGGCCAGTTCCTCGGCCGATGAAGACGACGCGGAAGAGACCGGTGTTGTCGGCGGAAGCGGAACCGACAGCGAAACTGTTCGACGAGCGCTCACTGACCGGCGGCCGGACACCGTGATATGGGCGCCTCGGCTGGCTAATTCAGTTCAATTGATCGGGTCCGTGGACCGGCCGGTTGAAACTTTGAAGAGCCAAAAGGGCGACCTCGGAGCTTACACTACATTGAGAGTGAAGAACCCTTTGAATTCGAAGCAGCTCACTTACACGTTCGTTTTTCTGTTCTCTCTCGTCTCGGCTTCGTTTGATTGTTTTGTTTTTGCCTACTTCCATGAATTGCAGGGTTTGAACTTTGCTAGCCTAATAATGGTTGTTTTCCTTATGTATGGATTAGGATTATGATCGTGGCTTGGGGAGACTTGGCAGAGATATGCGTGAAACATGTGAAGCCTGGTGATTTCCTCTCTGTTTCAGGACTCTTGGGGAGTTATTCAAAGACTGATGCCAAAGAAGGTTATGGTGGTCGAGAACCCAAGGTTTTGTTAAACCCTAATTTACAAAGTCTTACTGTGAATTAAAAGTTCGGTGCTTGTTGTTTTCCAAGTCTTAGACTGTTGGTTTCATGAGTTGTTGCTCTATAATAGCCATTTACATAATGGGGTTTAGACTTTAGAATCTGAATTGGAAGCTTCTAAGTTTCTTCGGTCTTTATCGGGTAATCAACAACTTCGCTTGACGAATGTGTTGATCCTTGTGTTTCATGAGTTGTTGCTCTATAATAGCCATTTACGTATTGTGGTTTAGACTTTTGAATCTGAATTGGAAGCTTCTAAGTTTCTTCTGTCTTGATCGAGTTCTCAACAACTTCGCTTGACGAATGTGTTGATCCTTGTGTGCTTATGTGGGGAGAACAATAACCGAAGGGATGCAATATGCTCAAGTAATGAGTGTCGATGTTGAGTCGTTATGATTAATGGAGTAGTGACTACACATTCAATGTTTCAAACTGCTACTGGATGCTTCTCTTTCAGAGCATTCCATTTTTCATGCTGTTCCTGTTAGATGGTGGGTGTGCAAGTAATAACGTTTCGGTTTTCTTTTGTGTAGATAATTGTGAGAGACTTGAATTTTGTCGACGTGTCGTTACATGGGAATCACCATACTTCCACAAAGCCAGGGGTTTGTGATTCAGAAGCACATCATCAGAATGATGAATCATCAGCAGCAAGTATGCTCCTTGGTGAAGCTTGTCTTTGTGTTTCCACCTCTTTGATTTCAACCACTGCATTTTTCTGTTTAATGCAGATGGCTGCTTCATTTGTGTTCTTCCTCCTCAAGTTTGTTCAATTTTCCCCTCTTATTATCTCTACTTGTTTAGTTGTTCATGGATGATATCTGTTCATCATCAATCAGGTAAAGCCGACCTGGAACTCTACCAAAACCATCTCTGGCAGGATTTCTTCCGCAACCGGGAGAGATGGTGGGATAACAGGACAAGCAAGAAGCACAATTGGTGGCCTGATTTCATTCACAAAAATACTCGCGAAGGACTCTGGCTGACTCCAGATGTTCCACCATGGGTGAAAGAACAACTCCAGCTGCTTGATTCAAACACTGCAGAGCAAGATCAGGGAAATGGTGCACAAGGAACTGACATCATGGAAGGTGGGTTCAAGAATGCGCTCTACTTATGGCAACTGCTCTTCCGTAGCCCAAATGAGTGGTGGGATAACCGGCTTGACAAGAGGAACCCGAGAGCACCCGATTTCAAACACAAAGATACCGGCGAGGCTCTGTGGATCCGACGAGATCATCCACTGTGGGTGAAAAGGCAGCTCGAGTTGCTGGATTCTAGGATGGCAGAAAGAGGGGAAGTGATTGATAATGATTGACGTGTTTCCCATTTGGTGTACAATGACTAAATCGAACATGGATCGGCATGAAAAGAGTCGTTTGTATAGGGTCACAGTCCCACAGATGGTGTTGGTCACTAGTGTACAACCCCCGTAGTTTTTCTTTAGAACATTGGAAAGCCTTACTTTCTCTCTTTTGTTGATGGGGTAGAGTGACATATTTTGATGAAACATTCATATTAGAGTTGGTATCGGAAAAGCTAGTGATAAGTATTTTGTGCTGAAATTGTGTTTTTAACGGTTTGATACTGCTAAAAAAATCTATCCGTTTAAACTTTGATACCGGGTTTCTCTGTAGCACTGCCCATGTTCACTTTCTTGTTGGATTGTCATAGATTGAAATATTCCGACAAGTGATTTGAAACAAAATATACATAAAACTTGGAAGAACGAAACACTCATGAGTCATGATCACTTCGAGACTCTCGAGCATAATGAAGCAAGTGAATTGGCAGTTAAGGTAAGATATCTAAACAAAATCATTTCTGATACTCACTTTTGGGTAATGTATCTCGTTTTAGTAGATTCTCTGGGCAGTAAATTTAGAAGGTGAACTGGCTGATGAATCAGCAACGTTATTTTCTTGCTATATATGACGTTATAAATAGGCCACCACCATCAAATCTGTAACAACGTACCAGAAGCCTCCTCCATTCGGGATAATAGCTAGCTATCCTCTGCTTTTACCTATAATGGATCTCCTTTTCATTTCTGTTTTACTTACTGCTCTTCTCGCCGGCGTTTCTGCCGCCGTCACCGGCGTACCAAACAACGTCGTCGTTCCCTTCCAACAAAACTACCACATCTTATATGGACAAGACCACGTTAATGTGTTTGGTGAAAACAACACTGTTCGGCTCTCCCTTGACCAAAGCTCAGGTAATGGGGATATTTAATAGTAATTACAATTAATCGTGTTAATGTAATTAAGATTCATCATTAATCAGTGCTTAATATCATCTATTTATGGTTAAAGGGTCAGGATTTGGGTCGTATAAGAAATTTGCCTCTGGATTATTTGAAATGAGGATTAAGTTACCACCAAAGGACACCTCCTGTATTATCACCAGTTTCTATGTAAGTACATTGTTTAACATAAAATCCACTCATCATTAAAGAAATTTGAGGTTATATAACTAGACTAATTACCATATCGATATTATTTCTTCATGGTCGCGTAGTTAACTTCATTTGGCGACGAATTTCATCATGACGAGCTGGATTTCGAATTCTACGGCGGCAACTCACTGCCGTATCAACTGCAAACGAACGTGTTTGCCAATGGGGTAGGCGGGAGGGAGCAAAAAGTTGCGCTCTGGTTCGATCCGACGGCCGATTTTCACGACTACCAGATCCTATGGAATCAACATCATGTCATGTAAGCCTTAAACTTTCACGTCCAATAACATAAAAACTAGAGGTGCCAATTTTATATCCAATCCAATCCAATCCAATCACTAAAATTCACTAAAATATTCAATTGATACACTTAGTATCTATACTTTTTTTCTTTTACATTTCGATGCCTAAATATTTTTTGGTTAGAAAGTTTCGATGCCTATATTTTAATTTTTAACATATCATTGGAAAATTACATTTCGGTACCTAAATTTTTATTAATACAATATTTGGTATCCAAACTTTTCAAAATTTATATACTGATCCAATGTTTGGATGCCACTTGGATTCACGATCCAATAACCAATCCATGAATCCAATCCACCAATCTATTGAATCCATGATCCATGTTCCACCAATCCATTTGATCGAGAGATCCACCAACCCAATCCGTCAATTCACGAATTCAATCCATTTGCTAGTTTAGTAAAAACCATTAATCTCGTGTGACCGAAGCTTAATCCAAATCCAATTAGGGTGCGTTTGGATACAATCATTTGGATTTGGTATTTGTGATTTGGATTTCCAAATACCAAATCATGTGTTTGGATATTAATTACATTTGGTATTTGGATTTGTGTCAAATTCATGGGGTGATTTCCAAATACATGTCTAGTGTATTTTTTGTCAACTTCAAATACATTTCAACAACTAGTGATTTGAAATACCTCCTAACAAAAGAATGGACCTATTTGTAAAATATGAAAAGTTTAGGTACTATAGTGTGAGGCAAAACATATAAAGGTACCAAAATGTAATTTTACCATCAAAATTTCAGGACCTTTTTGTAAAATTTTAAAAGTTTAGGTACTAAATTGTAAGAAAAAATAATTTTGGGTACCAAACTGTAATTTACCAAAATTTGTAGTAAGTGACCAGAAAATTAAAAATTGAAAATCATAAAATACAAAATACAAACAAATTACAAATGAGTATCCAAACAATGAATTTGAATTACATGTATTTCAAATGCTAATATTTCGAATACATCCATTTCAAATGCTAATATTTCAAATACCTTACATTTAAAATCCACTTATCCAAACTCGCCCTTAATTTTTTCCCCCGGGTTTTCGGTGGATGGGATCCCCATAAGGGTGTTCAAGAACAACACAGTGCTAGGAGTGGACTACCCATGGCGGCCCATGCAAGTGGAAGCCACGATCTGGTACGCGGATTGGGCCTGCGATGTGAAGCCCGATCTGAGCAAAGGCCCGTACGTGGCAGAGTACCAGAGCTTCGACATTGCAGGCTGTCCTGTGGATGATTTCAATCCCAATGGTCGGGAGCTGTGTTACTCTCCCAGATTCTGGTGGAATACTGGAAACAGGTGGCAGCTGGATCCTCATCAAGAACAGGAGTTCCAAAACGTGAGGGCAAAACACATCAGTTATGATTACTGTCGGGACAGAGCTAGGTACCCTGTTGTAAGTCCAGAATGCCAACCCAATTCAAGTTTATTGTGACGGCATTGTCTTTGTGACCCATGTAATTTGCCATTAAAAAAAACTTTCAAATAAAAAAGATCTATACATTGAAATTCAAGTTATGTTGTGATCAATCTCTCTCTCTCTAAGTGAATCGCGATTAAAGTCATGGTCGTTCTGAATCCGCTTTTAAAAGATGTGGAATGGTAAAAAAAAAAAAAAATACAATGAGAAAAGGGCACAAAACTATGCATGAGTAGTTGAAAAATAATGGAACCAAATCGCTCACTCTCCCAAGTTGACTATGACTGTTTCGATGAGGTATTTCGGCCGAAATAACTCGTTTGACAAAAATAGAATGAAATGTGGTATTTTGTCCATGAGACAATTTGAAATACCTACTCACACCCTAGTTATTTCAAATAACTCTTCTCTCAACTTCTTTTTTCACTTCATCCCTTCTTTAAGTGATAAAATACCACAATATTTGAATGTTTTATCCAAACATACAATTAGACCAATTCACACTAACTTGGTTAGGGTTATGGTTGGTTTCTAGAAGATTCTCTATTATTAAAATAGAGAGACTTATTGTCTGGTCAGAAAGTGAAAGAGGATACGTACAACCTTTCATTTTTTTTATAGAGAGAGCTAACTGGAAAATCGAAACGTTGGATCGTCCTGAAATTTGGACGAAAGGTTAGGGATTATCTGAGCTTTAATCTGACCGAAGGGATCATCATTTTGATCTCTATTTCATCAGGAATCACTATTAGACAGAAGGTGTACGAATATATTTTTGGTACCTCTCTAAACCTCTCTTTGTCTTGCTCTTATTCTAGTTACCCACTATATTGGTGAGACCTATTGTAAAAGATGTGACATGATAAAAATTACGTCGAAAAAGGGTTACAATACTATGCATGAGTCACCGTAAAAATAGTGGAACCAAACCGTCCTCTCGTAAGGTGACGATGGCTGTTTTAATCGACAATGACTCACCCATCTTAGTGTGAAATCCATCTTGTCTAAGTTACTTGGAATTATGATTATATGTGACAACGCAGAATATTTACATCTAAGATGTTGCATGACAGGAAATATATAGATGTCTTTATACCATAAAAAAAATATTGCACTTATCTGCTAATTTATGTACCCAACACAAGAGGTGTGCTGCATACAGAGTAGTACAATTCATTGATTGTTATATGGCACTCAAAATTCGCAACCCGATTATGGTGCTCACAACCCATCTACGAGAACGTTCTCATAAGAACGATGGACAGTTGGATCTGGAGCGGGCTTGGAATGCTTGCATTCAATGGGCGTGGAATGCTTGCACATATTTGAGATCGTTTCGACAGATGGGTTGTGAGAATTTTAGTTTAGCAAAAACATGCACAATCTTATATGAACAATGAACTAGAATTGTTTTTTTTTCCCTTTCTCCCCATATCAATATGAAATGACACATACCTTTACAAATTAAATAAATTCAATCATAAACGTTAACCGCGTAACTAAGTACTAATCACACATCGTAATCGATCACCTTGTCTTTCGCGAGACTATAAGCAAAGCTGATGGGATATGAAGAGGGGAAAACTGAGATCTTGAGCCAGTCAAAAGCATATCAATGACTTCATCACTAGTTCATCTTTCTTTTGCGTTTGCCCCTCTTTTTGGACAAGTGTGTGTCACTCTCTCTCTCTCTGTCTCTGTCTCATCTGCGATCGGCCGTATCCATGGCGGAGACTCGAATTTGCTGCCTCTAAACCAAGCGACAGGAGGAAGGCTTAGAACTTAGAAGACTTGGGATGGAGACGTACGTTCCAACGAAAAGTCCTCACTAGAGTTGAACTCGTGGGCTGTCCCAGATTTGATAAAAAAACGCATAATCTATCAAAGGGTCGGGCCAGGGGAATTGAAGTTCATAGGATTTTTGAATCGTGTTGTCAAATGTCAAGGTTCTCGATCTGTTCTGCAGTCAAAGAGATTCCCTCCCACCTAGAGGTGGCAATTAGGATCCAAATCCATGAATCCAATCCAATTCATCCACCAAATTATCCACTTAATCCAATCCATTTAAATCCAATCCATTTGATCTAAATCCAATTGGATTGGTGGATTCATGGATCAATCCATGGATCCAAATGGCAAATTACGATTTGGTACCTATATTTTTTATATTTTACATTTTGGTACCTAAAATTTATATTTTTATACGAAAAATATCATTGGAAAATTACATTTTGGTACCTAAAATTTTTCATTATGACATTTTAGTACCTAAACTTTTTAAAATTTACATTTTGGTCCAAGCCTTGGATGTCATTTGGATTCATGGATCAATCCACCAATCCATTTGATCCAATCCATGAATCCACCAATCCATTGGATCCAATCCATTTGATCCACGGATCCACGAATCCAATCCACGAATCCACGAATCCGATCCAATTGCCACCTCCCACCTACCATGGCGGCCCCATCCGATTGACAGTTCATTATTTTGCGACCTTCGTCAATAGGTTAATGAATATTGTTGTTGTTTCATCTGCCTTCTTCATCTTGAGTGTTGTGTTGATCTCTAACTAACTCATGAGAGTGAAATATAACGAAGGTTACGGTGTGGAGACTAGGTGGTGGTTCGGTTCGGTTCGGCTAGCCAAACCAGACACCATTGAAAATCGAAATATGAATGAGCCAATTGCTCAAAATCGAAACCGTTAAGAGTTTATCGGTTTTTTATTAACCAAAATTTGATAACCCTTAATGGATTCGGTTTGACCGAAAACCGATAAGACCTTAACGGATTCATACTAAAGTTAATAATAATAATAATAAAGTCTGTATCTAATGAATTTTGAGTTGACTGGGGTAACAACACCAAAAAAAGTATGAGATCCTATATTTATAGAATCGTACTAAAACCTATATTATCTAATGGATTTCCCTCAAAAAATTTGTCAGGTGAGATCCTCGGACCCCCTCTCCTCTTGTCCTCCCCACGCCACTGAAATTATCATAACAAAAAATTAAAATGCGTAAGTAAGGCAATACAATATACAAATTGCAATGCTTATTGTTGTACTTTATCACTTACGTAATGTTCATATCCGTCTTATTGCTAATAGTTTAGTTGAAGTTAATAAAGAGAAAATACTATCTCTAAATACACGTGGAATTGATTGTGTATGGAGCATATCTTACTATTTGAGCGAATAAGCTCATTTTCATTATTCGACCCGACTAATATAATCCCTAATCTCTACAGAGTCTGCTATGGGGTGAAAGAACATATAATACCCCAGGGACAGAGCCCTAGATGAAATTGAACTAGTCAATGAACACTCGTCCAAATTACGTCAATAGTGCTTACACCACCACCACCACCATTATCTTTTTCATTTTCAATTATTATTATTCAACATTTTCATCAGTCTCTTTGATTGACAATTAGGTCAATGATTTGGACAATCTTAGTAGTGACTTTGATCCCACCACACTTCCCCATCTACTCATAACCTTCTTCCCATTTGAACATAGCATCCTGCAAAAAGTTCATCTAAATCAGGGTGCTACTAATACCATTATGGTATCATTGGTCCACATAATTATGCATTTCTTAACCATGTTTAATGAGCTAAAAGTTCATTGAATCTCTGCATCATGGATTTTCTGATTCCCACTCCAAAAGTGTATCCAGCAAAAGAAAGAAAATCAAAGAAAGTTGTGCAAAGTTTCACATCCATATCATTAAAAAAAACCTTCTTTATATTTCACCATATGGTATAGTATCTCTATCGTAACTCATTATTCTTTTGATCTACAAAATACATGCTACATTTGCATCGCGTCATACAAAATTTCATCACACCAATTAGAAATTATATACATACTTCATTTGGGGGAGAAAAGATTCGTTACTCACATAAAAAAAAACGCAAAACACTTTACATTATGATGTCTGGCCACTAGAAAGAAAAATGATTGGCTGTAACTTTTTTTAAGGATATTTCAAAAGAAATAGAGCATATATAAAAGAAAAAAAATAGTCTTTTTAGGCAACCAATATAAAACAAGAAAGATATAAGGACAATGGTCAACTAGAAGTTGAAACATCGATAAGAGAGTTTTTTTTCCGCCACGATATGGTTGTCAATACTCTGCTTGCAATTCAGGGACATAAAGATCTGGATTTTTATAAATTCTTCTTCCATTAAAGTGCTATGCTTTTTTAAACTTTTAAGGTAACCTGAAGTCCTGAAATCCATGGATGCTGCAAGATATTCAGGAGTGAATTGAAATAAAGTCTTTGGTTCCTTTGCAGATGTCAAAACGAAAGTGGGGTTTGGGAGTGATCTTTTTTGTTGATGCTGGTTGAAGAATTTCCAACTAAGACTGCTGGTAATGGCAATGCCCATAATGGGAAGCCAGAAACTTGGTAATAATGATGGATAGCCTAATTGAAAGATGGTGCCAACTTAATGGGGAAAGCACTAAACAGGGGATGATCATGAAACAGAGGCGGCCTCTAATTCTATTATTAACTTTGTAATGGGCAATGGTCCTTTGCCAAAGGATCTCCACAAACACTATATATAATCGTGACATGATTTAGCCATTTAGGACTCTCGCAACTAATGTTTAATTATCGTAAAATCATCATTCCACGTTGTACCGCATTCATCCAATATCGTATCATCATCATCATATCACATATAGATAGATATTGGGGCTGTAAGTTGGGTACAAATATTTGGGATATACCGAATATCGTACTGAACTTATCATTGTTTGGTATTATCGAATGACGAATATCGATTTATTTTTTAGAGATCGGGATTGAGATTCATTTTGGAGTGCTATTCGGTATTCGGAATTACTGAGATTGAGATCGGTATATACCGAAATATTGAGAAACAACAAAAATTAAAAATTAATGAAATATAGCACACAACTTTTGGTCATTTCCCACTCTTTCATAACTCACAAGTCTCCATCTAACTCAATTTTGGCTTTCCAGTTTAAGT